TACGTAAAGAGAAAAAACTTAAGCCCATATATGAGTACTAAATCTACATCATTTCCACCCCACCCTACCCTTCACCATCCCTTTTTTTTTTTTTTTTTTTTTTTTTTTTTTTTTTTTTTTTTGGCCTGCCTTTGAAGTTGAGATGTGTTTCTTTTTTTTCAGATTTTTTTTACTTGAATTAGAAACAAGATTGCTTTACATGACAATCCCAGTTCCCTTCTCCCTCCCGTACTCCCCTACCACCACCACCCCAACTAAAACCCTACCTATCACATATCCTTTCTGCTCCCCCTGGATGGTGAGGCCTTCCATAAGGGGTCATCGAAGTCTATCATAGCCTTTGGGATAGGGCCTAGGCCCACCCCCTGTGTGTCTTGGCTCAGGGAGAATTCCTCTATGTGGAATGGGCTCCCAAAGTCCATCCCTATGCTAGGGATAAGTACTGAACTACTACAGGAGGTCCTGTAGATTTCCAAGGTTTCCTCAATGAAATCCATGTTCCTGGGGTCTGGATCAGTCCCATGCTGGTATCCCAGCTATCAGTCTGGGGAGCAAGAGTTCCCAGATGTTCAGGTCAGCTGTTTCTGTGGGTTTCACCAGCCTGGTCTGGACCCCTTTGCTCTTCACTCGTCCTTCTCTACATCTGGATTCCAGTTCAGTTCAGTAGTGAAGTTGTGGCTGTTGGCTTCTACTTCCACCAGCTGCTGGTTGAGGGCTATTGGGTGGCATATAAGTCAGTCATCAATCTCATTATCAGGGGAGGGCATTTAAGGCACCCTCTCCTCTGTTGCTTAGATTGTTAGTTGGTGTCACCATCCCATTTTAAAATAAGCATAACTAATCAAGAAACACCACCAGGGGCGTTACAGATGGCTCAGTGGTTAAGAGAACTGGTTGCTCTTCCAGAGGACCCAGATTCAATTTCCCAAAGTATAGGGAAGATAAATTGGAAGCACGGGCTAGCTAAAGAAAACGGAACACGGTGGTGACTGTAGTTATTATATGTTTTTTAAACCAGAACTAATGAGGGTAAGAACATCTTAGGTTGTCTCTGACTTCCACATGGGCACCAAAACATGTGCATTCCTGCACACACCCACAGATTGATGAGAAGAGCACGTGCATACTTGCGTGCGTGCACACACACACACACACACACACACACACATTCACCCACAGATTGACAGGAGGCCTAAGTGGGTGAAAGGCAGGAGATGGCACAACAAAGGCAACAGAACATCTGGGTAGTCTAACCACCTAAAACAACAGAAAATGCTGGAGACCCAAGAGAATTGAGGAGCTTGCCCGATGTTCCACAAGTTAATGACTGTAAAGCTAAAGCCCATGCATGGGTCCTTTACTTCCTGCATTGCTGAATTGAACGAGATGTGTCACTCAGAGCATCAGCTGATAATCTCTTGCACTATTTTTGTAAGACTTTTTTTGTGTTACTTTCATTTTATTGATACAGAAAAACTGTTCATTTTACTAGGTATGACACGATGTGATTTGGGGTTTGTGTATATATCAAGGAATGTTCTGATGAGGATAATGAACACAGCCATCCATCACTTTAAGCCTGTGTGGATAAAGTCTTTTCTAGATATTTTCAGTTGTACACAATGCAATATTGTTAACTGTCTTCACTCTACTATGCCACAGACCACTAGAACATGTCTCCTGTCTAATTTTAACCCATTATCCATCCTCTTCCAGTCCATCTTTAATAAATCTATTTTTAAATAGATTCAGTTTCCATTTACTCCGAGTGTACCTCCCACCACAATGGTGTGCAATCGATTTATGTTCTCTTTGCAGCTCCAAACCTAGATGTCCCCATGACTACAAATATTTGCTCAAAATGAACATGGCCTTCTTCTGCATAGATTTGTATGTTCTGGGCACCTGGCTGGACCAGATTACACCAACCTCCCAAGTACTGGATGGCTCATGCTTCCGTGTTAAGTAAAACATGAGACTTACTGTGGCCCCAGAGGATTGGCCTGTGACAGCAGGTCTCTGTTGTTTTCAAGAAACATTATACAGGAAATGCTTTCAAGGTGTTACTAAAGAAGGTGAACTATTAATAAAAATAAAACAAGCCTGCTCTGCTTGGCTGAGTCGAGGGATGTTTTTCAAGAATTTTAGTGTGAATCAGCTAATGCCTGGCTGAGCAAACTTGCATAATAACAGTGACAATAGCCAACTGTTAGCCAGCACGTGCTGTCTACCCAGAGAACTCACAAGAATATCTCTACCTTGACAGCAGTCTATCCAATAGATATGGCAGCTTCCATTTTACAAGCTGGGTTCAACAGCTTAGTGACCTTGATTCACAACTCCTCAGTCTGAGTTCTCATAGTACTTGTCATTTTAACCAGTGTCTGGGGTTTCATGGGAATCGGCAGCACATTCCCTACAGGGGAAAAAAAAAAAAAAAAAAAAAAAAAAAAAAAAAAAGTATTTAAAAAACACATGAGTTTGAACATACCTACATGCCCTAACCCAGGTCCACAAATTTGAGCCAGGAATAGAGGTTATAAGATAAAGGAACAGCTAGTCACAGACATGGTAAACACAGGAACCTGCTCCAATTCTCCCTATCAGACTAAACATAAAATAGAATCCAAAGTCCCTTGAAGTTGGAGAGATGGTTCTGTGGCTAAAATCACTAGATGCTCTCATAAAGGACCCAAGTTCGATTCCCAGCACCCATGCGGGGCAGCTCCAGGGGAATCGTCACCCTCTTCTGGCCTGTTGGGGCATTTACATGCAGGTGCATGAGTGTGTGTGCATGCCCTCATGTGCACATATAAATATTAAAAACAAAATATTTTTACACTTTTCTTTTTGCTACTGCCCTAGCTATGTGGAATTCAAATATTTGAACTTTACCATTCCCTTCCTCTTCTAAGAGCTGTAGATAAGCTGATAGGATCTGGTACAGCCTGCATTCATGTATCCCCCATTGTGGTTAAAACCCAAGAAGCATTCTGTAAATTCTGCTTTACCACACATGAATGAACTAAGGAGTATTTACTGTGATAACAATGGACATAACAGCTGACATTATGCACCTTAGGTCCTATGTAGAACTGTTCGCTCGCATTACCTATTATATCTGAGGCAAACCTATGATATCATTCTTGTGGTCTTTACATTGGACACCAAACTCAGAAACATTCAGTAACTTGCTCATGGTAGATTATTATTCTGTAATCAAAATCTGTCATGATTCCCACAGTCAATGTTAATAACACTACTTATATTCACTGCATCTGTGTCATTTGCTATGTTATATGCACACTGTATAATATGCCTTAATCCCCCAATAACTCATTTACTACCCATTAGTGGGGATTCCTTTCATTTCCTTTCCTGGATGACTATGAATAAGTTATTTAACTTCTGAGGTGCTGTTTTTTGTTTATGAAACATACATAATCCAATTCTCAAGGCTCCTGTGACAACTCTAGAGACAGTCATCTAGCACATTGTCTGTGCCCTGGATGCAAAACACACACAACATGCCCAAACCGAACCTCTCTTTTGCCTGAATTTGATTTGATTCATTCAACACTCCTTGGAAAGCCCATTCATTTGCAAGGCAGCACCTTAGAAATAACCTCTATCCAAACTCTAACTGAAAGGTCTCAGAATCTCTTTCAACTCAAGCTGAAAGCAACTCTCTTAAAGAATAAACACCAGTTTTCATAAGAAAGGATGGGGGTCGCAGAGGGGCACAGTCTTCAAAAGCCAGATATGGTCAATGTGTGTCTCCAAAGGATGGTGCCAACAGCTGGATGTATGAAGTATATTTCCCTAATTAAAATTAGCACCCTGCCTAACAAGATTGTGTTTTTTAATTGATATATATATATATATATATATATATATATATATAATCTTAAGTAAACACTTCATGATTTCTTTATACACCCCTGTAACCCCACCCAAGACAAATATGGAACATTTCCGGAATCCCATGACCACCCCCCAGGCCCAGAGTGATTAAAAATCAACAGAGAAAGGACCTCTAAAATCAGAACTGAAAGCATAAAGGGGGGAACTTCCAATGCTAGGCAGCAAGAAGGTTGGATATGAGAAAGGTCATTGGGTAAGACAAACCTGACTTCTGGCTTCTTTGGAATGGTGCATGCAGCATGCTTCTGTGAGCTCATGCTCACTTTGTTCCTCAGTCCTCACAAGGGCTGCAACCTACTCCAGGCTTAATCCTATTTTGCTTGTAAGGAAACAAACTTGTTCAGGGTTTTGGAGGAGAAAGGCTCCAACTGCAGCAGAAGAGCAGGCTGTGGGATCACATCAGCAAATCCATCCACGTGGCAGAGGGACCTGGGAGGGCCAGGCGTCAGGTTACCAGGCAGCACTGCGACAGCCAGTATAAAAGCCCTGACCAGCTGTCCTGGAACACCAGCGATCAACCCTGTCGCGCGCGCTTTGAATTTCTCGTGTTAAAAAACCGTCTGACACAGAACACCAGGTATATGAATGGGAACCCAATTGAGACTTGGATGTCCTCTCCGAAAGGAGCGGAGCCACGGTTTCTGGTGTGTGTGTGTGTGTGTGTGTGTGTGTGTGTGTGTGTGTGCCCGTTGACTGGAGTGATATTAGACTTCTGAGGTGTCAGGAAATGGATGCACAAATGCACAAAGCAAAGTGTCTTTTGGCACCAGGGACAGGGGCTAAACAAAGGTTACAGGGCCAGTTCGGGAGGATGGAGAAGACTGCAGCAAGCTGCAAATTACATGACAGCCAACTGGAGACAGGGCGGGTGATAAAACGATTGCTTCTCAGTCTCTGAAAACAGTTTGCAACGGGAGTGAGGGATGCACTTTGCCTTGTAACGGTCTGGACAGGACTAAGTCAAAAAAGGGGACAGAAATTCCCATTTTCATGCAGGCTGCCTCTGACAGGTGTGCCTTTGTATATTTCAGGCAGCCTCAAACAGAGAATCACCAGGTTCCAGGACCAGAGGCCAGATGTGGTGTCTGGAGCAGCTCTTAAGGAACCGAGACGGGTTTCTCCCAGGGCGAGCCCGCCGCACCAAAGCTCATTCGTCTGCTGCGTGCATGAACGTGCTCACTCCTGACCGCATTCCAGAGTTCTGCATCCCACCAAGGCTGGAGCCTAGCACCTCCTGGGCTGCGCTAAGCGATGCCTGGGCTGCAGACTCGGAGACAGAAGAGGA